GTGTGGGGCGGAGCTATCAAAATAGGGGCGAGACCCTTTTGGGGTAGGGGCGTGTTTGTTTTGGTGATTTCAAATGTCAACATTGGCTACCAGAAATTGCTTACCCCACCTTTAATGCAACAGACAAATGGTTTTACGAACCATCATTAAACAGAAGCTGAACAAATTTCTGTGTAAAGTTTTAGTTTGTGAAACCATATTTACATGAACTGTTGCATTCAAATCGATGCAAATTATATACATATTTCATTTTTGTAAATACTTATTCAGCTTGTTTTATGATAGTTTCTGTTTTATCAAATTATGTAAATGATTGCATTAAATTGAATACAATTAAATTACACTACTGTTCAAACGTTTTAGATCGGTTTTAGTCTCTTCTCCGAAGGCTGTATTTACAGTAAGAACAGTAATTTAAAATAACTGTTTTATTTATTCCTGTGATGCAAAGCTGAATTTTCAGCATCATTACTCTTCAGTCTTCAGTGTCACATGATCCTTCAGAAATCATTCTAATATACTGATTTGCTGCTCAAAAAACATCCAAACTTTTTGAATGATAGTGTACGTGAGAATGGTCTGGCAATTTCTGGATTACGTCAATTGCTGCATTCAGATCAATGCAAATGACATAATCCAGAAGTCATAAAACCATTGTTACATTAATTAGTTGCATTCAATTTAATGCAATCATTTACATAATTTCCCCCCCCATAATCGTTAATGAATGCACCAATTCACATAATTTGGAATTTTTGTCTACAGTGTTCATAAAACCTTTCAATTCAATGCCATGATTTATAGGATAATGGTTGTACAAACTACAATGAAAGATAAGTTGAATGAATTTCTTAGTAAATTAGTCATAAAATTGATGCATTCGATTTTTTCGGACGATTTGTACATGGTTCATCTTTGTTGTGTGAATGATTGTTGTGCACAGAACATCAAACCATCTGGGTTTCGCTGCAGTGTGTAGGTGGCCACGGTACGCATCTGACTGACACTGGATTAAATGCAATATGAAGTCTACACATCTCCACTCCTACCATTCTTCATGAGTCCATTTCCTCTAAACATCAAAAGTAAAAGTCTCGTTTAAAGGGTGATTTTTACTGTGTTTTGATGAACAGTCCTGTTGGATCGATCAAAGTTAGTGTTGTTTTGTAGTATTGCTGGTTTTCGACGTGTTGCCAGATGGCGTAAAAAAAATCAGTGAAGACTCTGCTGAAGTTCATGGCTAAGGTCAGAGGTCAACTGTAATAAGGTTGAAGGTTTAATGTTCGAGCATCAGTCCAGAGGTTGCGGGTCGGCTACAGGCATGGTGTGCAGAACCTCGTCCAAGAGCTGCAGGGCGCGGTGCAGATGAATTTCGATCCAACACGGGGTCTCCTTGATGCTCTGGCGAGGGTAATCGGGACCCCAGCCCTTGACGAAACTCATGCGCAGAATACAGAGACGCCGCAGGTCGTCCACGCCGATGCCCGCCGCAGCAGACAGACCTGAGTACAGGCAGACCGATCATTACAAACCCAGGAAACACCATTTTACTATTTTATTACTCCGTTTTGCCTGCATCGGCGGGAGAATGCAGATGTGACTGAACATCAATAAATCATTTCATACCAGTATTAAAAAAAAAACGGTACAATAAGGTTCTTTAGTTAGCATTAGTTAAGTACTTTCGTTAACATGAACTAAGCATGAACAATACTTCTACAGCAATTATTAATCTTAATGTTAATTTCAACATTTACTAATGCATTATTAAAATCAAAAGCTGTGCTTGTTAACATTAGTTAATGCACTGTGAATTAACAAGAACCAACAATGAACGACTGTATTTTCATTAACTAACATTAACAAAGATGAATAAATACTGTAATAAATGTATTGTTCATTGTTTGTTCATGTTAGTTAATACATTAACTAATGTAAACCTTATTGTAAAGTGTTACCAAAAAAAAAACATTAAAAAAACACAGTGGTGTGAAAAAGTGTTGGCCCCCTTCCTGATTTCTTATTTTTTTGCATGTTTGTCACACTTTAATGTTTCAGATCATCAAACTAATTTAAATATTAGTAAAAGATAACACAAGTGAACACAACATGCAGTTTTTAAATGAAGCTTTTTATTATTAAGGGAAAACAAAATCCAAAACTACATGGCCCTGTGTGAAAAAGTGTTTGCCCCCTAAACCTAATAACTGGTTGGGCCACCCTTAGCAGCAACAACTGCAATCAAGCGTTTGCGATAACTTGCAATGAGTCTGTTACAGCGCTGTGGAGGAATTTTGGTCCACTCATCTATGCAGAATTGTTGTAAATCAGCCACATTGGAGGGTTTTCGAGCATAAACCGCCTTTTTAAGGTCATGCCACAGCATCTCAATAGGATTCAGGTCAGGACTTTGACTAGGCCACTCCAAAGTCTTCATTTTGTTTTTCTTCAGCCATTCAGAGGTGGACTTGCTGATGTGTTTTGGATCATTGTCCTGCTGCAGAACCCAAGTTCGCTTCAGCTTGAGGTCACGAACAGATGGCCGGACATTCTCCTTCAGGATTTTTTGGTAAACAGCAGAATTCATGGTTCCATTTATCACAGCAAGTCTTCCAGGTCCTGAAGCAGCAAAACAGCCCCAGACCATCACACTACCACCACCATATTTTACTGTTGGTATGATGTTCTTTTTCTGAAATGCAGTGTTACTTTTACGCCAGACGTAATGGGACACACACCTTCCAAAAAGTTCAACTTTTGTCTCGTCAGTCCACAGAGTATTTTCCCAAAAGTCTTGGGGATCATCAAGATGTTTTCTGGCAAAACTGAGACGAGCCTTTATGTTCTTTTTGCTCAGCAGCGGTTTTCGTCTTGGAACTCTGCCATGCAGACCATTTTTGCCCAGTCTCTTTCTTATGGTGGAGTCATGAACACTGACCTTAACTGAGGCAAGTGAGGCCTGCAGTTCTTTGGATGTTGTTGTGGGGTCTTTTGTGACCTCTTGGATGAGTCGTCGCTGTGCTCTTGGGGTAATTTTGGTCGGCCGGCCACTCCTGGGAAGGTTCTCCACTGTTCCATGTTTTTGCCATTTGTGAATAATGGCTCTCACTGTGGTTCGCTGGAGTCCCAAAGCTTTAGAAATGGCTTTATAACCTTTTCCAGACTGATAGATCTCAATTACTTTCTTTCTCATTTGTTTCTGAATTTCTTTGGATCTCGGCATGATGTCTAGCTTTTGAGGATCTTTTGGTCTACTTCACTTTGTCAGGCAGGTCCTATTTAAGAGATTTCTTGATTGCGAACAGGTGTGGCAGTAATCAGGCCTGGGTGTGGCTAGAGAAATTGAACTCAGGTGTGATAAACCACAGTTTTAACAGGGGGGCAAAACATAATCCAGAAGTCATAAAACCATTGTTACATTAATTAGTTGCATTCAATTTAATGCAATCATTTACATAATTTCCCCCCCCATAATCGTTAATGAATGCACCAATTCACATAATTTGGAATTTTTGTCTACAGTGTTCATAAAACCTTTCAATTCAATGCCATGATTTATAGGATAATGGTTGTACAAACTACAATGAAAGATAAGTTGAATGAATTTCTTAGTAAATTAGTCATAAAATTGATGCATTCGATTTTTTCGGACGATTTGTACATGGTTCATCTTTGTTGTGTGAATGATTGTTGTGCACAGAACATCAAACCATCTGGGTTTCGCTGCAGTGTGTAGGTGGCCACGGTACGCATCTGACTGACACTGGATTAAATGCAATATGAAGTCTACACATCTCCACTCCAACCATTCTGCATGAGTCCATTTCCTCTAAACATCAAAAGTGAAAGTCTCGTTTAAAGGGTGATTTTAACTGTGTTTTGATGAACAGTCCTGTTGGATCGATCAAAGTTAGTGTTGTTTTGTAGTATTGCTGGTTTTCGACGTGTTGCCAGATGGCGTAAAAAAAATCAGTGAAGACTCTGCTGAAGTTCATGGCTAAAGGTCAGAGGTCAACTGTAATAAGGTTGAAGGTTTAATGTTCGAGCATCAGTCCAGAGGTTGCGGGTCGGCTACAGGCATGGTGTGCAGAACCTCGTCCAAGAGCTGCAGGGCGCGGTGCAGATGAATTTCGATCCAACACGGGGTCTCCTTGATGCTCTGGCGAGGGTAATCGGGACCCCAGCCCTTGACGAAACTCATGCGCAGAATACAGAGACGCCGCAGGTCGTCCACGCCGATGCCCGCCGCAGCAGACAGACCTGAGTACAGGCAGACCGATCATTACAAACCCAGGAAACACCATTTTACTATTTTATTACTCCGTTTTGCCTGCATCGGCGGGAGAATGCAGATGTGACTGAACATCAATAAATCATTTCATACCAGTATTAAAAAAAAAACGGTACAATAAGGTTCTTTAGTTAGCATTAGTTAAGTACTTTCGTTAACATGAACTAAGCATGAACAATACTTCTACAGCAATTATTAATCTTAATGTTAATTTCAACATTTACTAATGCATTATTAAAATCAAAAGCTGTGCTTGTTAACATTAGTTAATGCACTGTGAATTAACAAGAACCAACAATGAACGACTGTATTTTCATTAACTAACATTAACAAAGATGAATAAATACTGTAATAAATGTATTGTTCATTGTTTGTTCATGTTAGTTAATACATTAACTAATGTAAACCTTATTGTAAAGTGTTACCAAAAAAAAAACATTAAAAAAACACAGTGGTGTGAAAAAGTGTTGGCCCCCTTCCTGATTTCTTATTTTAACAAAACTGAATGTCATGAAAATGCTTTGGCTACAGTATTTATTTATTATTATTATTTTAAAGAACTGTAAACAGAAATGAATGTCATAAAAAAATATTTGTTTCTAATATTTGAATAAGAATGTCATGAAAATAATTTGGTTTCAGTATTTTTTTTTTTTAAAGAACTGTTAACAGAAACGAATGTCATGAAAATAATTTGCTTTTAAAGAACCAGTATAGGACCTGATTCTAGTAATATATAAAAAATTTTTTTTTTTAAATTAACAGAACCGAACACATTTTATTTTTAAATAAAGAATCATTATAGGATTCAAGCATCTTGAATCATTCGGTTCCAGTATATATATTTTTTTTTTAATAAAAAATCCTTATAGGATCCAACATCCTGAAAATCATCTGGTTCCAGTATTTTATTATTATTATTTTTAAATAAAAAATCCTTATAGGATTTGAACATCCTGAAAATCATTTGGTTCCAGTATTTTATCTATTTATTTTATTATTATTATTATAATTTCTTTTTTTAAGTTAACTGAACTGAATGTCATGAAAATCATTTAGTTCCAGTATTTAATAAAATAATAATACTAAAATAAATAAAAAAAAAAAAAAACATTAACAGAATCGAATGGCACAAAAATCATTTGGATCCACCACTTAATTAAATAAATTAAATAAAATAAAATAAAAAGTTCATGGATTATTCCACAGACTCTAATCTTTCAGTTACCTGCCCTGATCACCACACGAACCGCTGCTCTGTGACTGGGCTTCATTAATAATGACAGAAAACTGATGTAATATGGATCTATACATGTATAAATGAAAGTTAATAAGACTCACTGATAGCAGGGGCGATGCCTCCCACCGAACCCGGGCCCGGGATGTTTCCCGCCACCGCAGCCGCCTGGGCAGCTGCTGCAGCCTGAGCCGTCGCCGCCTGCTGCTGCATCTGCCGATGACACTGACGCAGATCAAACACCTGCAGACACCAAACACAGACGTCACGCAGCCTCACGCCTTTGATATTCAGTAGTGATGAAGATGCTGAATTACCAGTGAAGACGTGGAATTATTCTTGAATGTGCTACTCCTGCAGCCATATGCACATTTTTTGTTAGTTAAAGGTGCCATAGAAGGCATTGATACAATATTTTAAATTGTTCTCTGATGTCTACATAGAAGGTATGTGGCTTAGGTAAGGGCAAAAAATCTCCAGAAACGGTTTTACATGTCCATTTACAACCCTAGGATTTGTCCCTAGAATGAAATGGTCTGTTTTTACCTTATTTGGAAGGGTCATGAATAATAATGTTGAGCTCTGCTCTGATTGGCTGTTTCACAGTGCGGCTCAATGTTGAGCTCTGCTCTGATTGGCTGTTTCACAGTGCGGCTCAATGTTGAGCTCTGCTCTGATTGGCTGTTTCACAGTGCGGCTCATTTCAGTAGCTCACACAGCAGGAAGGAAACACAGGGAAAATATATTTCAATACTTTCTCTTGCAGTTATATCCTTGGGTAATTATACATGATTTCTGAATACAGACACCAACCCATCCCTGCACATCACATCCCCTGCACAGCCTGGAACATAACATTTATTTCCAAGATCTGCCATTTTCGCTATTATCCTCGCGTGTTTCTTCACAATACCTGCAGAACTTCTGATGATTCGGCTGTGCAGGTCCGGCTGGCGGCTGGCATTGAACATGGGCGGGTATATGCAAATGTTGGGGGCGTAACTATTAGTGATCCCGACTGGAATGTCACAGTCGGTGTTATGTTCTGATTCGCCTATTTTTCAGTGGTCTTTTGCATGCATGAGATTTACACAAGAAGGAGGAAACAATGGTGTTTGAGGCTCGATACGATATGACACGATATGTCATTTCCATGTACAGAACTGTTATTATTCAACTATGCCAAGGTAAATACAGTTTTACATTCTATGGCACCTTTAAAGCCACATAAAGGACGCTATTAGGATGCAAACTTGTTACACTGCACTGAAGCAGCACAAATACCACAAAAAGACACTTTGACTACTTAAATGTGGTACATCACCAGTATAAATGAATGCTGCTGCCCATACGCACAAAATCAAAGTGAAATAATTTGATAAATGCTGCAGTTGACTAGGTTTTGACTTTTTCTAATTTTATTAGTTGCATTTAGTGTAAATGTATCAACAAGTTTACTGCCGTCACATTAACTAAGATCCTTATTGTTCTTAGGCGAGATAAACACTGAAGTTTGTAAACAGAAAAAAACAACAACATTATTTTGTAAACAAATTACGATTAAATATTTTGAATATTCTGATTGTAAATACAGATCATGATATAATACTATCTTATTAATATTATTAATAGTTTCATAGTGCACATATAATTTAATATTACTAATCATTATATATTACTACTATTTCGGTTGAAAACAAATATGATTTATTATCATTTACTTATTAATATTTTGGTTGAAAACAAATATGATTTAATTTCATTATTTAATATTACTATTATTCAGATTGCAAACACAAATAGGATTTCTTCTTATTATTTAATGTTATTAATATTCTGATTATAAACAAATAATATGATATAATATTTATTATGTAACATTACCACGATTTTTATTATAAACTTATATGATATGATTGAATCTTTCATTATTTACATTTAAAAAGACCTTAAATAGCTTAAAGGGGTCCTATTATGCGTTTTCACTTTTTTAATTTTAGTCAGTGTGTAGTGTGTATGTTTGGGCATAAAAAAGATCTAGAAAGTTACAAATCTCAAAGTCCACTCCAAAGGGAGATATTTCGTTTTTTTAAAAATCCCTTTTCAAGAACTACAACAAACGCCTCGTTTGGACTACAGCGTTTGGTTTCCGGGCTTTGTGATATCACAAAGCAGCTCATTCAAAAAGCTTTTGTTGAAAGACGGAGCAAGGGGCGTGGCAGTACTGAAACACTGTCTAAGCTGTTCGCCAATCACAACACACTGGGACAGCTAACCAATCACAACACATTTTGTTTTTCGGAAGGCGGACCTTCATCAAAGCCGGAACTAATCGAGCCGTTTGTGCCAGGCTGGGGAGAAAGGTATTTTAATAATGTAAATTATGTGAAAAATAATGCGTTTTTCGAACCACCAAGCATGAGAGCATGTTCTAGTACACCCCCAAAACAAAATCAAGACTTTGTAAAAGAGCATAATAGGACCCCTTTAAATGTTGTTTTTGTTAGTAGACTAACTACTAGTAGTGTGGCTGACTCAGAGGTTGCTTGACTGTAGTTTAACTACATGAAAAAAATTAAAAGTAGCTTCCTCACACTGTATACACATATGTGACCCTGGAGCACAAAACCAGTTTTAAGTCGCTGGGGTATATTTGTAGCAATAGCCAAAAATACATTGTATGGGTCAAAATTATCGATTTTCTTTTATGCCAAAAATCATTAGGATATTAAGTAAAGATCATGTTCCATGAAGATATTTTGTAAATTTCCTACCGTAAATATATCAAAACTTCATTTTTGATTAGTAATATGCATTGCTAAGAACTTCATTTGGACAACTTTAAAGGCGATTTTCTCAATATTTAGATTTTTTTGCACCCTCAGATTCCAGATTTTCAAATAACTGTATCTCGGCCAAAAATTGTCCTATATCCTAACAAACCATACATCAATGGAAAGCTTATTAATTCAGCTTTCAGATGATGTATAAATCACAATTTCACAAAATTGACCCTTACGACTGGTTTTGTGGTCCAGGGTCACATATACCATAGTATTTCCATGGTACTTCAAAAGAATATCACTAATTTATAATGGTACTATGTCCAAGAAGGTGCTTTTGTTTATTCGTGAAGACTTTGGTATACTGTAAATAATCCTAACAGGTGGAGTGGGCGCTTGTGTTACCTTGATGTAGGCACTGGGGTAAATCTTGTGGACGGCGTCACCCGGAGCTCGTCCAGCCTCGCGGTCCAGATAATAGCTCTGGACAAACACAGCATGGTCACTGAGGCAGTGCACCCACACGTCACCCTCTCCTTTACACTCCAGCTGAACACCTTTACCGATGTGAAGCCTGGAGGACAGAGAACAGTTTGCAGCTTAGAAGGGAGAACTGTAGGCAGGTGTGGAGGAGAAAATAAAGTCTTGTCATTCAGTGCTGTTGCTTACACTTCTTAAGGACCAGGGTTATTACACTAACTAAAACCACACAAAAACAGAAATCATTTTGATTGTAAACAAATATGCTTTATTATTACTTAATTATTAATATTCTGATTGTAAACAAACCTGATTTCACGTTATTAATGATTTAATATTACTACTATTCTGATAATAAACAAACAATATAATTTAAAATGTATTATTTATTGTTAATAACATTTTTTTATTATAAACTTAAATAATATGTTTTAATAACACCAGTGTTGTTAGTTTTCTAAAACTAAAACCATAAAAAAATAATTTAAATTAAATAATTTTGATTGTAAACAAATATGGCTTATTATTCATTATTAATATTCTAAATAGAAAAACATCAAAAAAAAAAACTTTCTTACTTGAAATATTATAAAACATAAAAAAGACATTGAAAAAACTAATAAAAAAAAATACTGAACAGAATGAAAACAGAAAATATAAAAATAAAATCTAATTCAAAATATGAATAATTTTTTTATTATAAACTTAAATAATATGTTTTAATAACACCAGTGTTGTTAGTTTTCTAAAACTAAAACCATAAAAAAATCATTTAAATTAAATAATTTTGATTGTAAACAAATATGGCTTATTATTCATTATTAATATTCTAAATAGAAAAACATAAAAAAAAAACTTTCTTACTTGAAATATTATAAAACATAAAAAAGACATTGAAAAAACTAATAAAAAAAAATACTGAACAGAATGAAAACAGAAAATATAAAAATAAAATCTAATTCAAAATATGAATACAAATTATAATACTATCTCAGTGATATTAAAATATCACTGATAAGGACAGTGTTAAAGTTATATTTTATTTTATTTCAGCTATTTACTTCAATTAGCAAAATTTTTTATTTTACGATAAAATTGAATGATAATAACCCTGTCTGGGACAGACTAATAATCTCGATGTACTAAAATAACTGAAATAAAATTAATAAAAACTATATAACATATAATAATATTAATAAAAATGACAAAAACACAACAAAATTACTCAAATCTTTAACAAAAATTGAAAACAGAAAATGCAAAAAAATAAAATTTAATTCACAATTTAAATAAAAATACGAAGTGAAGTGACGTGTGGCCAAGTATTATATTTATTATTTAATATAATATAAATATAATAATAATATAATAAATAATAACGAAATAATATAATACTAATACTATATATATACTAAATAATACTGAATACTGTAAACAAATATGGCTTATTATTCATTACTGATATTATAAATTAAAAAAAACATTAAAAAAAACATTTGTTACTTGAAATAAAATAATATTTAACTGAAATTTAATAAAACATAAAAAAATAATGAAAAAACTAATAAAAATGACAAATACACATCAAAATTACTACAACTTTAAAATGAAAACAAAATATAAAAATAAAATCTAAATCAAAATATGAATAAAAACTATAATACTATCTCAGTGTTGCTGAAATAACACTGATAAGGGCACTGTGTTAGAATTATTTCTATTTTATTGTATTTCAGCTTTACTTCAATTAGCAAAAATGTTTTAATAGTTTTCGTTTCATTTAACGATAATATCCCTTTCTGGGACAGACTAATTCTTATCTCGTATTTCATTTAGTTTAACTTGATGTACTATAATAACTGAAATAAAATGAATAAAAACTATATAACATAATAATAATATTAATAAAAATGACAAAAACGCACAACAAAATTACTAAAATCTTTAACTAAAATTGAAAACAGAAAATGCAAAAAATAAAATTGAATTCACAATTTAAATAAAAATACTAAATAATCCTAAATACCACTGATAAGGACACAGTGTTAGGGTTACCAGTGACGATTCAATCACCATACCTGGCTCTCTCGATGGCTTCTGTGCGATGTACGTTACTCAGCTGGCCGAGACAGAAGCGATCTCCACCTGACGGGTCCACATAACCGTCCACCGTCACGATGGGACAGTTAGACGGCACCTTAAACGTCTCGCCCACCTGAATGTCCATCTCAAAGTACGCAATCGAGCACCAGTAATCTGGAGCTGAGCAGAAGACCGCGCAGTTACAAATCAGTTAGTACATTCAACACTTACATCACAGGATTTTAATATGAATTCTGAACTACGCATATTTAAAATGTTAAATTATGGCTGCATAATGTTTTGATTCCTTCTCTGATGCACTAAAAGTATGTACTTCACTGATGATGGGTAAGTACATACATTGCTGTATGTAAAGACACAGTATGATACTGATACTACAGTACATGTTAAGGTGATGATGTACTGGTAAAATGAACTCAACCTCTTCTGTACTGCAAGGGGTTGTGGGTAATATTAGCCCAAAAAGCCTCTACAGATACTGCATACTACAGATACAAAATTTACCAGGAATAATGTATGATCCACACATCTTTGGCATTTTATGATAAGGCACCAGTGTAATTTTAGTATTATTTTTTGACTTAGCTTTTTAGTTTTTTTTTTTTTTTAATAATTTTTTTATGTTACATTTTAGATTTTCATTGTTTTAAATTCAGATTTATTATATATTTTATTTCCAGTAAGTAATTTTAGTGCTTCAACTTAAACTAAACAAAAATGTGAAATGTTGCCTTGGCAACTTACTAGGTTTTTCATCTATTTAAATGAAATTTTATTTCAGCTTTATTTTAATTAACAAAAATGTGGTAACACTTTACAATAAGGTTCCATTAGTTAACATTAGTTAATGCATTAACTAACAACAAGCAAGACATTTGTTACTGTATTTTTTTATTTAAAGGGGTCATATGATGCGATTTCAATTTTTCCTTTCTCTTTGAGAATAGTTAATGAAAACACAACTGTTCATTGTTAGTTAATGTTAGCACAGGCCCATTAAATAATATTAACAGACAACTTTTGATTTTAATAATGCATTAGTATATGTTAAAACTAACATTAACTAAGATTAATAAATGCTTTAGAAGCATTTGTCAATCCGTTATGTTAACAAATGAAACCTTATTGTTAAAAGTGGTAGAAAAAATGGTGTTTAATATATTTCGTTTTAGTTAACAATAACAACTACGACAGACTAAAGGCCTGTTCATTCTAAGGATGATAATGATAAGTTTTAATGATGAGAATAGGGATGTTCACATCACAACTATAACAAGAACAACCCAGAGGAATGATATCATTGGAATCACTCTCAGAACGATTATTTCAGCTGAAAAACACTGACAGCCAATCAGAATCCACCTGACTTTAAAGAGCTTGAGCATTTGAAGCAGCAGATGACAAAACTGCAGCGTGTGCTTACAATAAACATGCATTGGTGTTAGTCACTGTTACAGTTATCGTTCTTGATCTTTCTCTCACGTACTATAGTTTCTCTAGTTAGTGAATCGGGATGCAGTGTGTTTTATTCCTCACCTGGATGGGTGGATATGGGCGGCTGGAACGCCAGCTCATTATGCACTGACCCTGACCAAGACAGACAAAGAGAAACATTTAATGATGAGAGTAAAACAGGTAGTGATGGTAGTTAGGGGCAGTTCTAGTGACTCACAGTACTGGCCCGTATGAGGAAGAGGAGGGTGGTGCTGCAGGTGGCCGTTCTGATGAGGGATGCTGGGAGGAAAACTGCTTCCTCTGGGCCATGAGCTGGGGGCATCTAATGGAGGAAAACATGTGGATATCATACACTCTCAGAGCTATATCAGATCATCAGGTACCAGGAAAATGTTCATTTGACAGATGGGCTACAGCTAGAAGATGCATGAAGTGCTGCATGACATGTAAATAGGCGATGCATTCTGTCCTGCTGGTTGCTGGTTGAACAAATGGAAGAAATACTGACTTACTGGTTGGACCTGCAGCCATACTGGTGAATGCAGAAGTGGAGGCGGAGCTTGCGGAGTCGGCTGGCGGCAGGAGGGCGGGGATGTTGAAAGCGTCGGGCGGGGCATTGGAAGAGGCTGTGTGCTGGATGGTTTGAATACTGTGACCTCCATCAGCAGCAGAATGAGACGGCTGACCATCGAACTCATCCTTCACCAGGGGATCTACACTCGGACCTACACTTACACAGGCTAAATGACTTATTCACCAATCTGCAGTGGATCACATACAGTTATTCCAAAATAAATTCCACTAGGAAACAGACTGTATAAAATCCTGCTTATTGTATGGCTAATTAGTAAATCGATTAAATAAAAGGACATGAAATATTGATTTGAATTTAAATTATTTAAAATCGTCAGAGAGATATGGGAGAGATTGGAATTTTTTTGAAAGTCACTAATGCTCACCAAGGCTGCATTTATTTGACCAAAAACAAAGTAATACTGTGAAATATTATTTCCATTTAAAATAAATGTTTTATATTTGAATATATTTTAAAATGCTATTTACTTCTGTTATGCAAAGCTGAATTTGAGTGTCACATGATCCCTCAGAAATCATTCTAATATGCTGATTTGCTGCTCAAGAAACATGTCTTATTATCAATGTTGAAAACGGTTATGCTTTTTTATATTATAATATTCTTTTAAAACATTTAAAAATAAACCATAATCCTTTTATTTCAGGATTCTTTGATGACTAGAAAGTTAAAAAAAACAGCATATTTTGAAATATAATTTTTTGTAACATTATAAATGTAGTTACTGACACTTTTGATCAATTTAATGTAATGTCTGTCCCCAAACTATTGAATGGTAGTATGTGTGTCTTGGGTCAATTACACAGTTTAGCATAATTTTACAATTTATACAAAAAAAATGTGAAATGAATTATAACAATATGTAAGTACTGATCATTTAAAAAAAAAAAAAAAAAATTTAATTAAGAGCACCCTCACCTGGGCCGCCCAGTGTCAGAACAGACAGATCTGAAAATGGAAAGACAGAGAGAGATCATGTAAATAAGAATTATTCTACATAGTAAGAAAGTTTCAATTTGCAGCATGACAACAGAAAACAATCCACCGATGCTTGGAGACACGACCCTCTCGTAGTGGTACGGGTTCACACACACGCTGTCGCATTTCAGGTCAAAGGCAAACTGGCAGTATTTCACATGTTTCAGCTCGTTCTTGTGCAGGTCCGGCCATCGCCACAGCCGTGTGTATATAACATGAGGAAATCCTTTACGACCGGCCACCTGAGAAACAAATGAAATGTATCTACACATCATCACAGCAGAACTGTGCTCACGGAAGATAAAATATAGAACAGAATTTCATACCATAGTAACTTCCATTTATAGATCATCTTAAAGGAATAGTTCACCCAAGAATTTAAATTTGCTGGAACTTTACTCACCCTTAGGCCATCCAAGATGTAGATGAGTTTGTTTCTCCATCAGAACAGATTTGGAGAAATGTAGCATTCCTTCACTTGCTCACCAGTGGATCCTCTGCAGTGAATGGGTGCCGTCAGAATGAGAGTCCAAACAGCTGATATAAACATCACAATAATCCACACCCCTCCAGTTTATCAATTAACGTCTTGTGAAGCCAAAAGCTGCGTGTTTGTAAGAAACAAATCCATCATTAAGGCATTTTAACTTTAAATCATTACTTCCGGCTAAAATACAAGTATATAATAACTGTTTTGTCCAGTGAAAAAGTCGTCTCATCTGCATCTGATGGACTGGATGACTGGACTGATGGACTGGAGTGGTGTGGATTACTTGTGGATTATTGTGATGTTTTTATCAGCTGTTTGGACTCTCATTCTGACGGCACCCATTCACTGCAGAGCATCCATTGCTGAGCAAGTGATGGAATGCTGCATTTCTCCAAATCTGTTCTGATGAAGAAACAAACTCATCTACATCTTGGATGGCCTGAGGGTGAGTATCAGCAATTGTTTTATTTTAAATGTGAACTATTCCTTGAAGACAATAAAACAGTCCATTATTTAATATTAATATTTTTGATTATTAATAATAATTAATAATCAAACAGACCTGCAGTCTACCATCTAGCGTGCGTTGTATAGTCACACATTTACTGGGATGAGCTCCGTTCGTAGTGATGGCAGTGATCAGAGAGTCTAACTCATCCTTCTTCTCTTTCAGCTTCTTCACCAAGCTCTCTATCGCTCGTTTGGAGAAAGACTCGCTCTCTCCTCCCTGTCGATGGCACATGAGACTGTGGACGATGCTCAGACAGGCATCATTACTGGTGGGTGTGCTGGAGACGGACATGCTGCTGGAATTACACTCAACCACAGGTGAGAATAAACAAACCAACGTCCTTCAACGCATCTGTCTTCACACCTTGGTGTCGAGACGTGGTCCACACCAGCCTAAAAACACAGAGAGACTGTAAGCATGACTCAATATATAATATTTTGCACTATGCTTTAGAAAACAAACATTCAATTATTTTACATGCCTATAAAGCATGTTACATTGAATTCAGTCAGAAAAACAGACAGACAGACTAAAGGATTGTTATATATATATATATATATATACACATACCAGATACAGATAGATAGATAGATAGATAGAAATGCATTAAACTAAAACAAATACAATTAAGTAGATTATGTTCAAGACTAGTGAAACATGAACTAATTGAGAATTTACATACCACATATCATTACTATTGATTACACACAGTTGTGTTCATATTTATGCAGAATTGTTGGTTTATCAGTTTAACATCTAAAACAGCGATGATGGAAACACATATCATCCCAATGAAGTCAGACTGATCTATTCAACTATAAACTCATCAAAAGCACATAATTACGCTTAATTATTATAGCAGCTAAATATGCTGTTTACTTAATAAAAATCAATAAAGATTAAACAACAAAAAGACACGTGAACCACAAGCTGAAGGTGGACATTTTTACAATTATACTAAAAGGCCTTTTACTTGCTAAAAAAAGCCTAAACAATCAATCAGACGACAGAAGGCATGTAGTAGATTGAGTGCAGCAGGTTTTTCAGGAAAGTTTTGATCATGTTGATAATTTAGAGGTCTCTACAGGGTAAAGTCATCATCATACAGAACACTGAAATGGTTCATACATGTCATTAGACATTAATCAGGCCAAATAAGATGCAGCAAGACTTACCAACCTCAGTTCGCTGGTCCAGCAGCCTCTGTTTATGAAAATAAAATGATTAACTTAATAAACAAGTTAAAATCTCACCTGCTCAGGGACGTCCAACAGAGAGGCCCACACATTTCTCACCACTCAATCTATACACATTTACTCAAGAATTCAGCTCTGAATAAATAACACTCTAAAATATGATAAAAACTGAGACTCTATTAAAACATTTCCTTGTATTAAAATATAATTCTTAGAAAAACGTGTCCATACATAAGTCTTACAGGTACTACTACGGTGTCAAATTCTTCTTGAGCGCAATAGGCAGCGTGAGAAAGTCTTCAGCGAGGATGACCTCCGTCTTCGACCCCCGCAGCACGAGCTCAGCCTGTCTCTTAAGCTCGGTTACGTCATCGTCGCCATCTCGCCGCAGTGTTTGGGGTTTGTAGCGTTGACTGAAGTGGTGCAGGACCAGCGTTTGCGCACCCGCGGGCGAGCCATGCTGGGAGGGCTGTCCCCATGTTCCACGGCCTTCTCCTGCTGCCCGTCCTCCAGCGTGGCCTCGTGCACCAGCACATCCGCCCCCTGACACGCCCTTTTAAACCCCTCCCACAGCGGCGCACTGCAGTCCCCGAACACACACACCTTACGGCCCTTCAGCGGCGGCTCCAGCACCTCGCCGGCGGTCAATACACGTCCACTATCTAGAGTCACAGACTCTCCATTCTTCAGACACCCGTATAGAGGTCCCGGTTTCAAACCTGCAAAAGATTACATAAAAAGAGATTTAAAAAATGTTTTATCTTAAAGGGATAGTTCACCCAAAAATGAAAATTCTGTCATTAATTACTCACCCTCATGTCGTTCTAAACCCGTAAAAATTACAAATTAAGATATTTTTGATGAATTCTAACAGCTCTCTGACCCTCCCATAGACAGCAATGTAATTAACACCACACGGATATGTTGTTTTTGTTCAAATCAAAGCGTAAACAACGTGGAAAACGTATCCGCGTGACGCAGCTGATACAGAACAGCATACGCTGTTTGCGTTCAGTGGATACTCTCCAAAATGGCGCTACAGGGTGACGCGGAGGAGACGAATTGTTGAATAAAGTCGTTATTTTTGTTTTCTTTGCGTACAAAAAAGTATTCTCGTAACTTCGTAAAATTACGGTTAAACCCCTGATGTCACATGGATTATTTTACCGATCTCCTTGCTACGTTTCTGGACCTTGATTGTGTAAGGATCCTTAGGGAGGGTCAGAGAGCTCTCAGATTCCATCAAAAATATTTTAATTTGTGTTCCGAAGATGAACGGAGGTCTTACGTGTTTAGAACGACATGAGGGTGAGAAACGGATTTCTATATACGGTTTTTAATGTTTAATTTAGATAAAAACTCTAAAATGGATTCAATCAGGGCTGACACTGTTAAATAACAGCAACAACAGTGAAATAACAGCAACAACAGTGGCAAAGCTGGATGCTATTTCCAATAGCTATATCCGTAAGTGGCTTGGTCTGCCGCGATGTTTTGCAGATTCAGCACTGTTCGGAAAAAGAAATGCTCTTCAGCTTCCAATAAAGAGCATCTCACTTGGGTACAGGCTGGAGAAGACCAGGCTTGTACTCGAGTTTAGACAATCAAGTGACTATTTTGTCCGAAACGCTGGTGCCAATGTTCAGACCGGTAGGAAGTGGAAGGCAGAGGAATGTGTCGACAACGCCATTGCGAACCTGAAGCACCAAGAGGTGGTTGGAAAAACCCAGGAGGGAAGACAGGGTGTCTTGGCTGGGGTGAGAAATGTAAATTCTGGTCAAAGGCATCATCAAAGGAGCGAAAAAATCTAGTAGTCACAGAAGTGATGAGATTGGAAAGAAAAGACTTCTTGTGAAAGCTGTTGGTCAAGGCCAGCAAGGCCAGTGGACAAAGTGGGCTGACATCTTACCAAGGTCAGTCAGCTGGAGCGACCTTTGGAGAATTCCCCAAGCCAGGTTAAGTTTCATTATTAGATCAACTTATGACACACTTCCCAGCCCAGTTAACCTGGCACGGTGGTTTGGGGATGAAGAAATCTGCAGCTTGTGCAATGCAGCTCAGGGAACCCTCCACCATATTTTGTGCAGGTGTAAAATTGCTTTGGCTCAGGGTCGCTACAGGTTTCTAAGCACAGGACTTCAATCCTGGCTAGTGGAAGTGACTGGTCATTACGAGTAGACCTGGACAGGCGGCTGCAATTCCCCGCTTCTATTGCGCAAACCAAATTGAGACTGGACATTGTGGCATGGTCCGAGATGAGCACACAGGTGATGCTAGCGGACCTGACAGTGCCTTGGGAGGATGCAGATCACGAGGCATACGAGCGGAAAAAGTCACGGTATGCAGACCTGGTAGCAGAATGCCAGGGAAAGGGATGGAGAGCAACGACTTACCCAGTGGAGATAGGCTGCCGTAGGGTTGCAAAAAGGTTAGAATGTTTTGGAAATTTAAAAAGGTTCAAAATTTCCAGTAAATTTCGGAAACATTCCCGAAATTTTGGAAACTTTCCAGTATTTTTTGGAATATTCCAGGGATTTTTGGAAAGTTTCCCGAAATTTACAGGGAATTTTCCACCCCTTTGCAACCCTATTTTTTGTACACATTAAAGGTAGAAACGTATATCAAAAAACATATTCACATTTCAGCTTTCTGGAAATCTAGGCTGGTAACTGAAAAAGAAAGACCGTTCAAATCCCAAAATGCTACCTAACTATAATTACTGTGCACCTGATAAAAAAAAGGTTCACTGTACCTGTAATATGTGTATATTTTAAAATAAACTGCTAAATAATAAATTAATCAATTAAAAAAATTTAATAATATTTAATAAATTAATCAGCTTTTTGCCTTTAACAAGTTACCTAGTTCTTTCAACAGGTCTGTGTTTAACCGTCCTGGACGCTCTCGCTCCTCCACCGAGAACCCAAACGATGGGACTCTGTGGTAGAGCTTGAACACTTTAACCACAAACTGTTTGTCATCGATGAGGTGGTAACAGTCCGTGTGCGGGTCCAGCCGTACGGTTCTGCCGGGCCGCTCCTGTGGGTGAAGCGTATCGCTGCTCGCGGTCAGCGCAGGACTGAGATGCCCCTCCGCGGGACACTGCTCATCCGACGGCTCCAGCTCGTGCACGGCATACAGGAAGAGCAGCTGCGAGCTGGACAGCTCTAACGCCACACGCAGGAAGTGTCTTAACCCCCGGGGGCCCGTAGATGTCCACGCAGGGTGGAGGCTGATCCGGCTGGGGGTTTGAGTTCAGACTGATGGTGCACAGCAAACCAGGAAGACCAAAGAGATGATCACCATGGAGGTGAGATATGAACAAATATGGTGATTTTGCCTGAACAGGGAACATGGGAAAGTTGAAAATATAAGACTACATATATATATATATATATATATATATATACACTGAACAAAATTATAAACGCAACACTTTTGTTTTTGCCCCCCTTTTTCATGAGCTGAACTCAAAGATCTAAGACTTTTTCTATGTACACAAAAGGCCTATTTCTCTCAAATATTGTT